CTATATAATAATAATAATTCTAATTTCATATAATTAATAAATCAATACTATATAATATAGCTCGACTAAATAAAGGACTAATATATTTAAACACATCTAATTAAATAAGAGAGAAATCCTATTTTTCGATTAAAACAGATTTCAGTGCTTAAATATTTCTGTATAAATGTATATACATACATATCTGATTCTGCAAGCAGCGCGCTGAAATATTTCAACACATTTGAATAATTGACAAGATTCTCAATTCTCGCAAACTCAACATACAGAAGACAATTCGGTCTCTTCTTAACGCTAGTTCTTCTGATCAATTTTAACATTTGAAATTGCTTAGATTTCTCGGACTTTTTTTTATCTGCGATTGATCTTTGATCAATTTCAACGTTGATTCAGGAAAATTTCCAATTAATCAATATGTATTTGCAGATAACAAGAATAATCAGATAATAATCATTCTAAAGTATATTCGACATAATTAATAAATCGACAGCGTATAGACAGCGAAGAGTTTTAAATAAAGAATTAATATATTTAAACACATTTGTTATATATAATATCGATAAGATTCCCGTGAATTCAAAGGTAATTCAATCCTTTCTCGGTATTTATTCTTCCAATCATTGTCAATTTTAACATTTAGAATTGCTCAGATTTCTCGAATTTTCTTTTCATTTACAACTCTGTTTGATCAATTTCAATTTTAATTTAGGAAAATTCGAAATTAATCAATATATATTCACAGGAGACAAAAATAATCATACAATAATAACTCTGGAGTATATTCCACACAATAAATAAATCAACAGCGTTATACACTGTTAAATCTATAGCGTCAAATTTAACCTAATTTAATTCGCCGCTGCTCTTACTCGATATATCGTTATTTTACACTAAAACAATTAATGGATAAATTTGACACTACATGTTTATTAATTGTTTTAGTATAAACTAATGATATTGAATAGGAGCAATGGCGACTTAAATTAGATTAAATTCACACTACAGATTTAACAGTGTACAGTTCTAAATAAAGGATTAATATATTTAATCACATATCGACAAGGTTCTCGCGAGCTCAACATGCCAAAAGTAATTTAGTTCATTCTCGAGGAGTTAATAACGAATTACTCCGTAAAATCCCTCTCTCAATTGCAGATTTAATTTAATCTCCTTACATTCCCTCGAAAGTCCAGGTGGGCGCGAATGTTTTTGCACCCTTCCTCGCGGCGCTCACGAGCACGCTTCACGATCAATCTTGTTTCGAGGCGGTGGAGTGGCCTCTTTATCGTGTCGGCACGGGGAAAAAATTGGAATCACGAGAAACGCCATGCCAGGCCAGGCCAGGCCAGGCCACGGCACGCCGAAGCAGCGCAGCGGAATAAGACGAGGGAGATGCGACGATGCGATACGCACCTCGATCCGACTGCTATTATTTGTTCCAGCCGCGTCGAGCGGAGCGGAGCCACGCCACGCCGACGAGGAGAGTCGATCATTCTCAATTAACGCTCCCCCTTCGCGACCGCCGTTAAATTATACCCGTCTCGTACCTTCTGTCTGCCTTCCGCGTGGGCGTCGCGTGTTTATTAATCTCCACGCGTTGCGCTGCGCGTTAATTGTCCGTAAATGAGACAGAGAGACGCGTCCGTTGGCGCTCGATGAGCTCAATGGCTACTGCGATTCGGCATAAATTCATAATTGATGGGCTTATTTCCGTAACGAGGCGTATCCTTTATGTTCATAAATCAAAACTATGTTTAGACGCCGTCGGAACGTTTGCATCACGTTTTCATTTCATAACGTGGCTTTTACAAATTTATTCTTAGACCTTTATGCCTTTTATACATTAAAAGCGATGATTATTATTAAAAAGCGTACATAATATACTCGTAGTTGTTAAAATATTAAACGGTTATTATTATATCTTTGGCTTGTATGGCAATGAATGTACATAGAAATATAAGTTCTATAGACTTAAAATAATTTTGTTCAATGCGATTTCTTCTTTTTATTAATTTATTATTTTATGTATCTGCAGGCGTTTATTTTATTGATTTACTATTTCTGCACAATTAATATATTTACTTAATTCAATACACATCAGTTAGAGATCCAATTCTGAAACAATTCAATAAGTCGACTCTTTCTCTCATAACTTCCCTGCTTTCTATTCATGATACTTTGCACCAATTTACGGAATGGATGGTAAATCATAATAACGGTAGTTGGTTCATATTCTCATATTCTAGCATCTCTGGACTTCGCTACTGTACCGTAATGCAATGAGGATGCATTAAAGGCAGCGGCGCATATTCAAATCACGTCGCGGTCGATAAATATGTAGTGAGCTCGTACGATCCGACAGTAAAATGCATTACTCCATGTAGTTGATTCGCATTGCGAGATAAAGGTGATAAAGCGAATACTAAGTATAAATTATACAAGAAGAATCGTAGATAGCGCGCATTCGTCAAGTTGATAATCGCCTCTTTGTTACGTAATGCTTTTTTCTGGTCGACTTGCCAAAGACGGATTATTGTTTAGAATGATTTTTACACATGTCCAAAATATCTAATTTTGTAGCATACAAATTTTCCAAACAATTATACTAGGATTATAGAGAACTTTATGATGTATTTATTTATTTATAAAATCAAAAAGGATCATGTTTCATAATTTTTAACCGTTGTAAAAGCTTTAAAATTAAATTTACAAAATCACATCACGTGATTTACAAACATTACTCTAATCTTTAATATCACTTTCCAGTGGCGATTAAAAACGTTACGTGTTTGGGCCGAAACATTCCACTTTTTTCTACAGTTTCAAATTTTATTATTTTACATGGACTTTTCTCTTTTCGGAACTAACAGAGAGAAAAAATAAGTACGGTGTCGCGTTACGTTAACGAGAACGTTCATAAATTCAATTTCCGGGCCTTTCATTTTTTTTTTGTTAAATATTTTTTTATACGCAAAGGGAATTCACGGATTTATAGGTCGCGCACCGGATACTTGATATCGATGTATAGTTAACCGCACGTTCGCATTTTATCGCGCACGTGTCGCGGTTTATTATCGATAAAGAATAAAAGAGGAAAAACCCCCCCGATTTGTACCAGAGCAATTATAATTTTTCCGGGCGCGTATTTCGGTCGATGCGCAAACTACTGCCTGTTCGACGATGCGATAAAATCGATGAAGACCTTCGACTCGCGTCGATATAAATCACGGGAGCGACTCCAGATGTTGCTTGCACCTTAATGGCCCTCGACTCGCTTGTAATAACCTTGCTCGGGTATAACTGGAAATAAATTGTTCAGAAGCGATCGTTCTCCTTCGAAGATCGATGCCGTTCGTCGAATGCAACAGACGTTGTGCTTTAATTTCGAGGACAGGTACAAAATAACACAGGAAATATGCAGATCGATAATTTTTTACGTTTTTTGCGAGGTACTTTAAAGAACCTGTATATCAATTTATACTATAAAGATTGCAGTATATTATATATTATATATTCTCTAAAATCTTTGGAGTAAAATCTAACTCTACAGTTTACTCTTAAAAATTAACAATTGTGCCCCTCTATTTCAGTACTGGCTCAATTGTCATTCGTTATCATCCTTTCGACCCAGATTCTACTCTAAACATTTCAAAAGGTAATAATCTCTGAATATATGTGTACGTAACATATATATATATATACTTCATACATATGTATGTACTACAAAAATATTCACATGTCCTCGTTGTACTTTAATTAAATGCCAAAACTTTAAAGTACGCGACAATTGCGTTTCTCGGCGAACTCGACTAAGACGCTGAAAGTCAAGCTAAAATACAGGACAAACCATGTATATACAGGACATCTGGCAACTCTATCTCGTAGCGCCTTCCCTGCGCGCTGCGCCCGACGAAGGTTTCCTACCGCGTAGAAACCATTAAAGATCTTACCGTGCAACGTAGTTGGAAGAATGAAAATTGCCGTGGCACAGAAAAGAGGGAAAGAAGCTCTCGGCCGTTGAGAGAACTTTTAACGCGTTGACTTCTCCCGCGAATCGCGACGAGGTCCTGTTAAATCGCTCCATTGTCTAGCAAGTTAATAGCGGAACCGTCGACACGAATAACGTCGAAGCATCGGTTACATAAATTATTTCTTGCAAAGTATTGCTTGCCAAGAAATTTTATCTTCACATGCGAGTTCAAAAATGGATTCTCAGAAGAATGCTGATAAATTTAAATAATGCTGGTTAAATAAAAGCAGAGAGAGAGAGAAAATATATCTTTATATTTTTTTATCATTTCTAGTCTTAACAAATAAGAAAGTAATAGACAAGCACTCTTTTAGTAATTCAGAATTCTTTCTTAAAGTAAAAGAAAAATAAGAAGAGAGAGAGAGCTACGAATCAAAACAAACAAATTTTAATATACATGTAATACAGTTGTACATTAAATAACATGAAAATAAAAACAAGATAAAAATATGTCTACAAAAAAACTAACGTTTCAACCACCTTCGAGTCTTTCTTAAAGGTTATTTATTAACTAAGATTACTCGTAAAAATTAAAAATCAATAATTAATTGTAGAATTTTCATAAATAAAAATCAAACATTTCAATTAGTAGAAAGCCAATTGCAAATAATTCAAAAGTCATTTATCACAGTTAATCGAGAAGTGCAAGTAATATTTCATTGGAGAGAGAGAGAGAGAGAGAGAGAGAGAGAGAGAGAGAGAGAGAG